CCAAAGGTATTGTTTTTGTATATTGGTACTTATATGGTACACCATGCAGCTGTGGAGAATTTGCATTGATAGTGCAAAATCACAGTACTTTATTGATGATGTTTTAGCATGTCTTCCTCCTTGTATTTTTAACAGATCAATTAAATTACACATATTTATAAGGTTTCAAAATAACAGGAAAACATCCTTCAAGGACTAGGACTATACGTCTTGGCTGTTTCCAAGGCACTGATAGCCAGTGTCATCATGCACAAGTCTGTGAGAGCAAGACATGATCATAAGCAAAGAAAATTACCTGATATTTAATTCATTTTTAAATTCAGAATATAAAGAATAATGTACATTATTTTTTAGTATCAGGCAAAATGTAAGTGAATCAAAGAGAAATTAAGAAAAAAAATGGTGTTATTTTCTGTGGCTGAGAAAGAGGAGGAAAGTAGAAGAAAGAAAGATTCTTTTCGTCATGTCTCTCTAGAAAGGATTTTGAAGTATTGGTTGAGACAAGCATTATGTAGCACATACCCTCTAAACACTCCTTCAAAGGGCTGATGAAGGGGAAAGCATATTGTGAATGCAATAACTGACCTAACTAATACGTCTTAATGAAGATGTGTATTGATTTGGTTATGAGGAATGCTTAGCCTCTAAATATATAAATGTAAAATGGTAATTGCTCATTCTGAAGTTTCTGACCTTCTCTTAATGATGTGAGAAACACACCCGCTTAAGTCAGACTCTAGAAGCTTGCAAGAAATGGAAAGGTGTGCAAGTACTATAGATTCAACATAAACTACATTTACCTGTTTCATATATATAGCCTAAGAGTCAAAAATTAAACCAGAAAAAGGTTTTTTTGGACTGAAGCACAGTGAAAATCTAATAATGGCAAAGATAAAGTTACTAAGGAAAGTAAAAGAATAGATAGAGGCAACAAAGGACCAAATGGCTAGGAGAACTTTTCCTTCCCTCTCACCTCCTGGTATATGCATTTTTCCTTAGACTCAAAGCTAATCCTACACATTGAGTGTCTAGGAAAAAAAGTAGAACATGCAAGCTGAAGCAGACATACAAAGACTTCCCCAAAAATATAGTAAGAAATATGAGAATATATGCATCTTTACCTTTTATCTAGAATAGATTTTACTTTAGTTAATAAATAAATAACATTTTCCTTAACAGCTGTAAGCTTTTCCTTCTATAAATTTCTGTCTGTTTCTGTTTTGTTCTTCAAAAAGTGCATCTTTAAAATTAATAGACATTACATGTTTAATGAAGGGATCAGCAGTCTATAATGTAGTCTCAGACTAGTTTCACAATGGAGTCCTTCTAATAAGGGCCCATCACCAGAGCAGTGGAGACGATGCTGAACATGGCTGGAGTTACTAATTTCACACTATCACACTATCTTCTGCTAAGTCTCAGGTCTAGTGGGAGATAGAGCTGGTCAGCATTTGGCCTGTACGTACAGGCATAATCTGCAGGTGGTATGTTCTTACACAATTCCAAAGTAGCTGTAGTCAACCTAGTTAACTATCTGGTGAACAGAGGTTAAGAACAACACAAGTCTTTTCTGGTCTAAAAGATCATTTACAGTACACAGAAAGAGACAACTCTCCCTTAATGACATTTTTTTCAAGAATTTCCTCATTTTTCTTAGATAAGGAATAACACTTTGTCCTGGGTTTGAGTGAGTGGTGGGTTTATTTGGTAGTAGGGGAGGGGGCTATAGAGGTGGCCCCCTGTAAGAAGCTTCTTGAAGCTCCCCCAGCTCCAAGTCAGCTCCACCTCTGCACCAAAACTGAGCCAATAGGCTGCGCCTCTGCAATAATGTATTTAAGAAGGGACTTGGTGAGGAGGAGTCGGAATTGTGAGGAGGAGTTGCAGCAGCTGCGTGAACACCAAGGTCAGTGGGGGAATGGAGGAAGAAAGGAGGAGAGAGTGGTTGCATGGTGTTTGGCTGCCGACCAGGCTCAAACCATGACACACCTCTTCAAGACTTCCCTTAAGAATATTAAGTGTCTGCTTCTGGAAGTCATCTATGAATTAAGTGCTATTCGCCTGACTACAGTCATTGGTAAGGTGCAACTAAAAGATGAGAGATCCTAGTCATTTCTGGATACTGGAAAATGTATGTGTTTATGGAGGAACGTGGTACTTAGGCCCTGAAGTGTGTTAGGCGTGGCATGCATATATAGTTAGGAATGGTGATCAGTCTATATCCAAACCCTGAAGACCTACAGCCCTGTAACTGATAGAACTGGCATGCTGAGGTTAAAGGAAAGTTGCAAAATTTTCCAGATTTCTAGTCTGTCTTTAATGAACATGGCATCATTCACTTTCTGGGACATATTCCTAAGTATAGGGAATGAACTGTTGCTATAGGCTACTTTTAATTTAGTTCTCTGTTACTACAGAAGAGCTCTGTATCATTTTTAAATAAATGTTTGAAATAAATGTTTCTCCAGAAAAAAAAAAAAAAAAAAAAGAAAAAAACAAACAAAACATTGCATTGTATTTCTGCTTTATTTGTGTTCATTTTCACATACTAAAATGTCACTTAATAGAAGCAGGTGATGGACTCTCAGATTAGCTGTAAAGAATGAGCTCTGGCGGGTGGTGGGAGGCTAGAAGACAATAATACTCTAACTAGTAATATAATGCACTTTGAACTTATCGCTTGCTTCATATAGAACTGCTGAGATATCAGAAGAAAAACCAACCATACCCATTTTTCCACAAGTACCCACAGCAATTCAGATAGCATCAGGTGCGTACAGCTGTAATGCAAGTATATTTATCTCTATACAACAATAACACATGGGAGAGAGATAAATAGGAGCAAACATTTCACTGACTGCAACAATATCTTTGAAAACATGATTGCATTGTTTACATGGAAAAGGCATTTTTGAAGATTTGAGATTGGACAAGTGAAAAAGGAGGTGTTGAGCACTCCCAGGGGACTGGTACAAACGAGAGTAGAGAGGAATATCTGGCTATTGCCTACTGTCACACTACAATGGAGGTTGACAGGTAGTATATCAAAACCCCTTTGTGTCGTTTTTCGCTGGGATAGAGTTAATTTTCTTCATAGCTAATATGGGGCTATGGTTTTGATTTGTGCTGAAAACAGTGTTGATGATACAGGGATGTTTCTGTTACTGCAGAGCAGCGCTTGCACAGAGCCAAGGCCTTTTCTGCTCCTCACCCCACCCCACCAGTGAGGAGTCTGGGGGTGCACAAGGATTTGGGAGGGGACACAGCCAGGACAGCTGACCCCAACTGACCCGAGGGACATCCCACACCATGTGGTGTCACGCTCGGCATATAAAGCTGGGGGAAGAAGAAGGAAGAGAGGGAACATTTGGATGCGATGATGTTTGTGTTCCCAAGTAACAGTTACGCATGATGGAGCCCAACTGTCCTGGAAATGGCTGTGCCCCTGCCTGCCCGTGGGGAGTTAATTCCTTGTTTTGCTTTGCTTGTGTGAGTCCCTTTTGCTTTACCTGTTAAACTGTCTTTATCTCAACCCACAAGTTTTCTCACTTTTACCCTTCCAATTCTCTCCCCCACCCCCTGGAGGGGAGTGAGTGACTGGGTGGGGCTTAGTTGCCAGATGGGGTTAAACCATGACAACCTTCCATACAAAAATCAGCCAAGTGTTATGAAAATGTTATTGCCAGGTTATGAGTGGGTTTTCTCTTCTGATTGCTTTGGAGAAAGGATAAAGGGAGAATCACAGTCCATATTTTTGCTCTTCAAATACATAGAATAGACTAGTCCCTCATCATTGCTTCCCTTCATTTCCCATTAAACTCCCCTTCAGTAAATAACAAAGACGACCCTTTCCTCACACATGGAGTGCTTCATCTTGCAATGGTGTATTCTTGAGAAAAACAGCTTCTCTGCCTGACTAGAGCTCTATCTACTTCTGTCCTCAACATGACACAGAATAATATCATCCAACCTTGGATATAAAATGGTACTAGATAACTACATCTTCTGATTGCTTGGTTCTTCCTTATGATTATTTATCAAATGCAAAATATATAGGCAAAGGAGTAATAAATAAATGTGATATGTAATATTTTCCCTTTTTCTAGTTTAAAGTTCAAGACAGGTAGAGAATCGGCCTACAGATGACCAGGAAGACAAAGATTCCAACCCATTTTAACTTTGCACATTGACTATTAAGCAAGTCCCTTCCCAAGGTAATTAAACCAAAAAATGCTACACCAAAGCTTGTCTTAGATTATCATTTTGAAGCTGTAACACAAGTCATCACTTTGAGTGTCAACTGAGATGAGAAAAATATGTATTTGACTTAATTCAGCACAGAGATTTTTATAGAAAGGGAAATATCCTTTGGTTAATGTGGAAGTTGCTACCAGAAACAGTGAGATGTTAGTTAAAATGGAGCAAATCAGTGGGAAATGCTTTTTTCCTTGGCCTACAAAGTGGAATTATGTCATTCATAAAAAGCATGAAAAGGGACCCTATAATACTGTATTCAATTATTGACCCTATAATACTGTGTTAATTTATTGGATAATTATGACTTTGACTCAGTCCTTCTCTTTACTTTGCTATCCCAATAATAAAATTAACCAAGTTGACATTATACTTGCACTGTTATTCAGAAAGCTATCCTACTACCTGTACATTTTTAGGAAGATGTAACAGTTAACCTTGGCTACTTCATTCTGTAACACAGACTTTCTCTCAGGCATATTTAAAAAAAAAAAACAAACCAGTTTCAGATACCATAGATCTCAGTTTTGTATTGATATGTAACATTCATGCATAGCAACAAACTGATGTCAAACATTAAAATGGTGAATAAGTGTGCTCTAGCAAAAAGAAAAGTGAAAAAGAAGGACAAAGGCTACATATTTTAAACAATTTATTTGTTACTATAGCCCAAGGCTTTTTCCTCACTTTTCAAGATGCAATAAAAATTATATGAAATATTTAAAATGCGTACAGGCAAGTTTACTTACTGTTTCCTGGATGCCAGCGCACTGCATTTAAATATGCATTACAGTAATGGAAGAGAAATTCATGCTTGGATCGGGTAACTTCTCCTTGAAGTAAGGGCATCAGATCATGTCCATCAATAATTCTAAGTAAGAAAACATTTCAAAATCAGAAGAATAACCCAAACCTCACTTTACTGAGAAGCTATTAAAACTTGGCATTTCCACCGCTCAAAAAAATAAATCTGACTGGCTAACTCAAGTTGGTCAATTCAGAGAAAAGCTTTCAGGTGCTCTTGCCCTCTCATTTTTACATTATTTAAAGAAATATTAATTTTACATTTTGCCATTAAGAATGGTTGTTTCCTCAACAGATTTTTATCTTTTTTTTTTTTTTTTTTTTTTTTTTTCCCTGAGAAAATGACCAGATATATGTGAATAAATTGCTACAACACTGTCCTCCAGGTTTACCTAAGCTGTTTGGGAGTAGTCTGGCCAAAATAACACTAAACCAGGAGAATTATATGCTGTGCTCTGTTAGCATCCTTGGAAGTAATCGTAAGAACTCTGTCCAGCAAAATATGTATGCCAGAATTTAAGACAGAAATAGTCATTTCGAAGTTGAAAATTAACTATGTTTAAATATGTGTTTATCAGCCACACACTCACACACAGATATATATATATATATGTGTATATATATATAAATTCTCTAAACGCCACTGGACTATTTTAATCATGCTTTGAAGGAGTCAGTCAATTTACATCAAAATGGAGTTATAAAATAAGCAAGGCATTTAAATGTTTCCATAAGCTAAGACTTTGAATTGATGGAATCAGATGGCAGGGAAGAAATCACAATTTGCACTTTTGACCTGGTGTGAATTACAAATTTTACGAGAAGTTTTACAGGTTATTACATTTTACTGATATACAGATCAGCAGGTAATTATTTTTTAAGCATTTTGAGCATATTTCATAACTTTTTTGAAACTTTTTAAGAGTTTAAAAATGTCTATTTTAATTTTCATTACCATTGTAATACCAGTGTAACTACTGCAAGACAGGTATTAACTTCACTTTTTTAAGGCATGTGCTGTGTATGACTATGAAATTCTTGGCAGCAATTGTATGCAACAGCACCATGCTTAGTAGGACTCTTCTCAAAGGATGGGCAGGAAAACATCCTGGAATTCCTAAAGCTGTGTTGTCCAATAACTGTGCTTTCTTGGTGCATCCCTGTCTGTAGGGATCTGTTGTATTAAAGACATTCCCACTTTCAATTTGTCATCTTTTCTCACCTGAGTAATGCACTCCTGTCTCGCCCCTGCAGGCTTGCTAAATACCAAGCTGAGATCAGAACAGACACACGTCTATTGTACACTTTCTGTTCTACAGCTTGCTGATGGGGAAAAGGGTATCTCCAGCAATATGTCTCCAGCACTCTTGCATTTGCACAGCTGCTGGTTTCAGGGGGATATATGAGACTTTTCTTCCTGATGACTTATTTTGCTTCTTTACGAGGAGTATCTCCTCTTTTCCTTTTCAACCTGTTTCATCCCAGTTACTGAATCCTAATCGTAGTCATTTCTCTTATTTCTCAGGAAGAATTCAGTAGAGTGATAGGAACTCAGCCGCTGGATTAAAAATGCTTCAAGTTAGTCCATGACCTACTATGAAGCAGTAATTATGGCATCTAGTCTACGCAGAAGAATCACTGGAGCAGCTTGCAAGTGGAAGTTACACAAATATATTGGGATTTCTATCAAAGAGATCAAAATAAAACATTGGTGCTTAGTATTCATGCAAGCAATATGAAAGTGCTTAAGATCTGCCCACATTAAGAACAATATGAACTGCTTAGGTTTGACAGAGTTACGGCTAGTAGGGGATCTCTCAGGACCAGTCTGACTAATTTTTCATTTCTTACACATGTCCTGCCCTGCCATTTCCTTCAAGCACTCACTGAATCATCATTAGCAGAGTGCCTCTGCTCACTACTGGTTTCCCCCCACGTGGATTCTGGATTCTTTGTGCTCAAAAACCGTTTGTGTATGGTAGATGTGTTTAAAGCATGTGCATATCATCATGTTTCTCCACTTACTGGATTTGGATGGCAATAGATTTTAGGTGGAGGCACCTTGCTGCTGAGACTATCTCCCAAACAAGAAAAATCACAGGGATATAGGAGTGCCAATAAAACATCTTATGAATTTTAGAAGCCCAGTGGGTCTTCTTATCAGGCTGCAAAACTCTGTAAGAGATTATTTTCACTAACATGGTAAAGGACAAAAAAATCTGTGAGAAAAGCCTAGCTGGCATTTTGATGTGTTTTGCTATACTAAACATACCAAGGTTGAGCTTGTGAAGTTTAAAATAATTTACCCCTGCAGTTCCTGTTTCTACTACATTCGCTCATGAAGAACAAAGCATTTTTTGATACATTCATTTTTGGTTTTAGTAAGTAATTCTGATTTGACAGTATGTTGCTCTTAGTGCTATTCTCTTATCTTATTGCTTGGTGCTTGTTGTGCAAGGTAAGCTGTATTTACATACAACATTTCTGTGAAATATATCAGTATGTCCGTATGAAAAGAAACAACATATTACTGTAAGTAATGACAAAAAAGTGCTTTTAAAATTTAATTTTTTCTTTTAATTTTCACCTCTATCTTAATAAACATCACTAGAACATATAAAACACTCATGAGAGTTTCTCTAAAATATAGAACTACAGAGCATACCTGTCAGAGGGTAACTGTGCCTCGGCAAGTTTGACTATGGTAGGAAATATATCCATGTTACTTGTTGGTTCATCAATATAGGCACCAGCCTGTATCACTCCAGGCCAACGGAGAATCCCTGGCACACGAATACCTCCTTCCCAGTTCATTGATTTTCCACCTGAAAAATTGAAGTTTTGTTTGTTATGAAATCAATTTGTTCTTAGAAAAATACCTCCCCAAAATTCAATTTCCAAACATTAAACATTCTGTCTGGACAGAATCTTTTCATTAAATATATTTATCTTATTTTTAATTTGCTAGGTTTATTTTTTCCACCTACAGTCGGTACTTTTCTTACAGAAATCTACTAATATGTATTAGACAGAGCCTATAAAATGTATTTAGTTTACAAACTAAAACAGGTAAATAACAGTTGTAGGAGATAAAAAGCCACATTGCAGGAATCTTCATATAGAATTTGATCTAGATAGTATGCCACATAGTTATGTGAAGATATAACCAAAAAACAGGAATCAAAAATCAATTAAGATAGGCCTAGATGTCTGAGGTATGAACCCAGAGAAGATATATGATAATTTATTAAAAATGGTGCTTAATGACTTTAGATAGAAGAAAATACTAATTTAAGTATGTTACTCAATTCTCCAATTCAAAACATTAGGAAGAAATTCACTACAGTGATAGTAGATCTCAGGATGTGAAGACCTTTTCGACTTCCAAACCAACACAGTTGCATCAAATACACTATCAACTGATTGCATTCAATACTACACTGCAGTCATTTCCTTTGTTTCTCCAATAACCATCACTGTCCAGTCCTCCTGACATCTTTACAGAAGGGCAATGTGTTTATTCTATGGTAACATTTCTATCATTACTTAATATATGATACAACTCTGTATGAAGGGCTACCACAAGTACTATTATTACTGCCTTACACAGTCATGTGACTGTGTACAGCACTTCAGGTTGATCTTTGAAATTAATATATCACTTGGAAAAAAATATTTCTGATAAACAGATGGGGTTTGGATGTGGTTAAGCGTGGTCTGGGCCAGGCATTTACAATTAAATTGAGAAATTTTTTATGTATAATAGAAGTGTCTGAAAGAAAAAGAACATATGTGTTGAACTCCTGCTGTTAATTGAATCACACAGCAATTCATAGTTCAAATAAAAATACTATAAGCCTATTTTTCCTGTATCTCCCATTTTCAAGTAAAAAAACCCACAGATGCACAAAATATTACAACAAAGTACTTCAATAGTTCTGTCTCCTCAGCCTCTTAGACCTTCAAAAGACCACAGAGATGTTAATATCTTCAGTGTCAAGCCGAGACCTTGCCATACATGCTGTCTATCTTACCAACTCCTCAGTGATCTTTTCTATTTCAGCACTGGGTCATTCATAATCCATCTGTTTTTCCACAGGTTTTCCACTGTCTAGTAAGATTTTGTACAGGTTTTTCACTGTTTGTAAATGTGTGAACTTCAAGAGAGAAAACTCTTTTTTTTTTTGCATAGATCTTTACCCATTTTATATATGTATACAGATCTTGTGGCTGAAAAACCTTCAGCTCATGGTTCTTTTTTATATCAGATTTTTGCTTACTTTTTTCATGGGCTTTATCAGAACTAATAATATTGAATAGTTAGGGACACATAATTATCTAATCTGACATCAGAAAACGTAGGGTTTCTAATATTCAGCACTGCATAAGAAACAATCTTTGCTAAAGTTGGTTTTGTAAAGCAGTGTAGAGTTCAGGTGTTAACAAGACTATCTGTCTTTTAGAGCAGTCTTAAAAATTTACTCTTGTCACAGTGTCAAATGTAATTTCATTCTCACAAATAAAGCATGTGGCTACCTATTCTAAAACTCAGGAATGAGATGAATTCTTAAAGAGAATATTTTTGGTTACATTATTGTAAAAAAAATATGATTTTCAAACCAAAAAATCTAACAAAAATGTAGATTTAGTTTTATAAAATTGTTATTTAGTGAGGTTTAAAACACCTGTCACCTAGCAGACGGAAGTGTTCACCCAACAGTATGCTGATCTGTTGTTAATGCGGTTGGGTCGAGACTGGTGTAGATGTCAATAGATTGTGTGCATCTTCTGTAGAAAAGATGACTCTGTCATGTATAACAGTCACAAGGATTTTAGAAGTTTGGTGGAGATTATGTGTTACCTAGCAGGAAAGTGTCAAGATTAATACACTGACTGAGCTATGGTTCACAGAGAATTCTCTTGAGTGGGAATAGTGATATCTGAATAAAAATATAAGAAAAGTATGAGGACATGAAATTACAGATATATTCAAATCAAGATATTTTCAGTGAACACCTAGGCTGGGGAGATGATTTAGTACATGAGACAGATCCTAGTTCCGTGTAGACATCACAGCAGCTTGTTAGCTAGACAGTATGGATAGACAGAAAAGTCTATGAACAGATCTGTACAATATGTAGCTTTAAGTGTGAGGTTCCTTTTATTTATATATACCTCTCTGAATCTAGTAACACGGTGTTAGCTAGATTGGATTGTTTAAAGAAATTCTTGTTTTACTGTTGCCTCCTGTGTAATCTGAAGACAGAGTAAGTGGTGAATTCCATTCCCACAAGTTGCAATTCTTAAAACCTAGACATTGGATCACTTTCACAGTTCCTGGGTTCACAATACAATTTTCTTGAATCACTACAGAACAGAAAAGAAAACTTGAACATTACTCAAGCACAAAGGGAGCACTCAGCAAACTCTGCCTCCCTGCTGTGAGGTACAAAAAGCAACATGGACTCCACAGCAGAGCTATCTCCTTGCTTATGTCAATAAGGAAGTGACTGCTGTTTTCCTTTCAAAAGACTAATTGGAGCATATTTTTTTTTTATGTCTCTGAAGATTAGGAATAGCAGGAAACCAGGGCAGGAAATAGAGGTCATTGTGGAAGGTTTTCTTTTATTATCTGTGTCTATGTGATGTTCATCTTTATTAGAACTTTGTAAATTTAGTGATATCACTAGAGTTGTTTAATACCATTATAAGATTACAAATCCCTTTATATACATTGTCTTTAAAAGTCTAGCTGTTAAACATTGTTCAAGCTATCTGCAATCTTTTTTCTTTAAAAAAAAAAAAAATCAAGGTTTCACTACTAATGCCTGAAACATGAAGCAAACATTCAAATGGCTAGAATATTAGAAGGGGAAAAAAAAAAATCCACAAAAGGTCATTATTTAAAAAGAAAATCTCTCAATATTTCAGGATCTGACTCACTAGTTCTGTATTTTGCTTGGACTTCACAACACTGAAACAGAGAAAGGCAACAACCTAGTAGTCTGTATGACTGGCAAACTCTAGGCAGCCTACCTATATATTATTTTTGTTCTCTTAAATTCTTCTAAAAATGTTTTGAAAACAGCATTAAACACTCCGGGCTGTACTTTCATGCTTAGCTATCTATGCTTTTTGAGTAGTTGTACCCTTCAGTGTTATACTGAACAATAGCCTACATTCACCTTTCCTGAAAAATCTGCAGGAGCAGGTAAAGTACAGACATAACTCTCTGCAATCATCCACAACATGATATCAAATTTCCATTTTAACCTCATTTAAAAACTTAGCAAAAAGAATATCTCCTTTTTTTTTCCCTCTGAATTAAATTGACTGCTATTACCTAACTCTGGGAACAGATATTTTACAAAGGATGATATATAAAGGGGAACTCTGTGGTATATCACTATTAATATTTTGAATGATGAATAATGAAAACTATTTAAAATAACTTTCTTAGATCATGTGGATTATAAGCATAATATCCTTTCCTTCTTTCTTATGTTATTCTAAAAACAAAGCTTCCAAACCCAATTTATCTTGAAAGATACAAAAAAACAAGGAAATTAATTAATGTATCTATCTGTAGCAAAGTTTATGCTACAAATGTTGACAATCAAAACCAGTTACTATCGCTTACCTTAAAAATAATCAAACAACAATTTATTTTTGATAGCAAGCTCACTCTTTATTTGACTGATTTTTAATCTGTTTCATATACTGCTTTTGTTAATTTTCAACCTGAGCTGTTCTTGTACAGGTGAATGTAGTAGACATAGCTCATTTGGACATCTTCTCATCTGACCTTTCTTTCAATCAAATGAAATTGTCTCTCAGAATATTTTCTGTTTCAGTCAAAATGACAAGATGGGTTGATTATTAAAAAATCTGAATCACTTCAGAGAGAATATAAAAATACTGTACATTTGAGAAAAAGGTCAATTCCTGCTCTCATTAAAGTCAAAAGTGTAACTCCAACTAATATCACTAAATACGCAACAGAATAGTACTGAAGCCAAAGTTACGGTCAGTTTGATTTCTCTGTGGCTTACAGATAGGAAAAGGTTTGCTAATAGCGTCATGAAACACTGCTGAATGAACTTATCACTGCAGTATATAAAACTGTATAAAAATAATACATTTCAATAAAATATTGGGCAACTGATTCCTCCAGTCCTTGTTTAGCTCTCACATATTTCTGGTAGTTTTAAAAAATCAGAGTCTAAGTCTTTAAGAAACATTGAATAATATTTTTCATGGATATTAACAAAGTAACTATGAATATACCTATTTCTAAGGCACAAAGCACTTAAAATTAATGTTGTTCAATTGGTTTGTCATTATTAGTGATTGACTTAGTTTCCATTAACATCAGAACTCATGATCTACTCTAGTAGCATGATAGTAGCCAAGTGCCTATATGTATTGTGCTAATTGCTTCATAAATACAAAGAAAGGCAATGTTTCTAATGGGTAGGTCCAAGGTACAGGCAAATTATATTTAGCTACATATCCAAAAGAAGATGACAGTAAGACTATTAAGAGATGCAAGGAGACTCCACAGAAAATCCCATATGCAACAGATTGGGGTAGATGTCAACAAGTGATAATGAGGGAGGACTTCTACTGTCTGCTTATGTATCAGTGGAATAGTATAATGAGAAAAAGTGTGGAGAAAAGCTTTTAAATGAAAAGTTTTTAATGCCTTCACTGTTTACTGCTATAAAGTACATAACAGGAGAGACATTTCATAACACACTGAAGCTAATTCAACAAATGAGTCACTAATCAACTAAAAAATTACCACAAAATAGATTCAATATCT